CCTAAAATTTTGTATAGTTGTATGTAGATTTAGGATTTATTGTATGTATGATTAGAAGTGAAATTACGTGGAAAGTGCTAGTAGAATTCGCGTAGTGTTATTTGTTTTAGTCGAGTTTAAACAGAATGGCAGATAGCGAGGACGACGAAAGTTTAGCAGGTTTGACGCAGAACACGTTTCTGAAGGCACCTTTAGAGCCTTGTTTCGACCTGTTCAGTGGATTATTGGAGGGCGATTGTAATGTTGGTGATGGTAGTAATAATACCTCGAATAATACAATAACATATTCTGATCATGTTTTAACGGCGGAAAAAGAATTAAATGAAGCCTTAAAATGCCGCTACTCTGAAAATAGGCGGAAAATATCGCTAGTTACAGACAAGGAAGTTGAGTTGATTAAGGAAAGTCGAATTCCAAATAACACGAAACACAACACTAGTTGGTCTGTCGGCGTTTGGCAGGATTGGGCAAAAGGAAGAAACGCGAGAGTAATAGAACTAGGCGTTGTCGACAAGCTAGTCATGTCAGATATCTTAAAAGTGCCTGAAGAAGAACTTAACTATTGGTTAGCTAAGTTTGTGGTCGAGGTTCGCAAAAAGGCAGAATTTTATCCGCCCAAGACACTTTATCAGATATGTTGTGGGCTATTACGATTTTTGCGAAATAATGGTCGGGCAGCATTGAATATATTTGATGATCCCATGTTTAAGCATTTTCAGGATACTTTAGATGGTGAAATGAAGCGACTTACTAGTCTCGATGTTGGTGCAAATGTCCGACAAGCGCAAGCATTTTCAGAAGAGCAAGAAGAACTTTTGTGGAAATCAAATCTACTGGGCTCCGACTCACCAGTGACATTACTAAATACAATGGTTTTTTTGATCGGCAAGAATTTTTCGCTTCGGAACGGAAAAGAACATCGTTCATTAAAGTTCAGTCAACTTACACTGGAAGCTGCGACTGGGGATGAACCTGAGAAGCTTATTTACACATCTTTTGGAGAAAAGAATAACTTGGGTGGTCTTAAACATCGTGCCATGAAACGGAAGCGTGTGGAGCATTACGCAAACGATGCGTGTCCTGATCGTTGTATGGTGCATTTATATAAGATGTATGTGGAGAGATGCCCTTCTGAAGCCATAATAAAGGATGTGTTTTACGTTACTCCCAAGCGAAAGTGTCTTGATTCTGATAAAGGTATGTTATGCTACTGATATTTTGAATATCCTTTGCTTAGAATTTAAATTGTTAAATTTTTGTTCTTTTAGTGTGGTTCACGTTAAACCCAGTTGGCCACAATACGTTGGGCAATACGGTGAAACATTTGTGTGAGAAAGCTGAGAAAGCTGGCATTGAAGGGCATTACACGAATCATAGTCTTAGGGCTACTACTGCAACACGTGGTCTTGAAAAAGGGATTGCGGAGAAATATGTCATGGAGAGAACCGGCCATAGAGATGTGAGATCACTTCAGCGATATCAAAGACCGAACGTCCAACAAAAGATTGAGATTTCAAGAGCGTTTGATTTATCGTTGTCTCATGAGGAAACTAATTTGGACTACGCAGAAGTGTCGAATATAAAAAATGTCATTGATTGTAGTAAGAAAGAAGTAGAAATAGATACTTTAAATACTAAAGACAAGGTAAAACGTTGTAAGAATGAGAAGAGTGAAACAACGCGCTCTGCATTTAATAATTGTACTTTTTTTGTGCAGCAGGACTTTTTAGCTTGAGTTCGTTTTAACGTAGTAAAGTGTGTAGTGTAGTTTGTGTGAGATATTGTGTGATTATAGTGTGATGATAAATGTTTGGTATTTAAAGTAATCTGTAAAGTAACTTGACTTTTGTTATTCTGTTGTTGTATCTAGATACGTTCCTGTTAGTAAGGATGTATCTAGATATATCCTTTCTAGGAGGGATGTATCTAGATACATCCTTAGTAAGAGGGATGTATGTAGATACAACCCTGAAGATAAATTGAATGCAATTCATCAGCCCCGCTCTTCCCTGCTGAATATCAAATCCCTCCCCGTGCTTTTAGAGCGTAAACCTAATGAACAGGTAATTATGCTAAATACAGTTTTATGAATAACAATGAAAACCGACTCAACATGTAATAACGTGAAATATGGCTTCTGAGAGAATATGGTAGGTCGTTTGCAACTTGCCTCAGTCGCTGGCTATATAAATCAAAGTCTGTCGAAGTATTTAGTGTAATGTTGGCTTGATTTTAGTTAGTGACTATTCTGCATTTTCACTACTGATTTGTACAGACTGAGGTTTATAGTTTCTACGGAATTTGTCTATTTAACTCTATATAAGGATACCGCACTATTGCCACAGACTATAGAAACAAACGAAAATGCAGAATAGGCAGTAACTTACACCGGGCAAACACTACACGATATCTTTCAACAGACCGTGTTCTGCAACCAGCAATCGAGGCAAATTGCAAACGACCTACCAATATTTCTGATTTTGCGATTTAAAGCATCGCGTAATATAATTTACTATTCACTACCGAAGCCATATTTCAACGGGTTATTTATTAAAATGATATGCAAAGTTAGTAAGGAAGTAGAATAATCATGTCCGTGATTTCTGGCCATGTTCAGTTACTTGTAGTTACTTAATCATATGTTTTTTACTTAATCATATATTTTAAATGTTTTTTCTGTAGGCTTGGACATTTCCCACCTTAAAAACAACTTTCTTTACAGCTTCCGAGTTTCTCGATAAAAATTTGAATGTTAAATTTCAAATGTTATCAAATTTAATCATTTCAGGTGGTACAGTACTGCATGTGTTTTACAGTTACATTTTCATGTATTTCATCAATTTCAACGACATTAGGATTGTTTTGCGTGCATATTATACACAGTGGCGTAGCCAGCCGGACAATGTAGTCCCGCTATGCAAATTCGAAATTGATTTTTTTTAGAAATTGATTGTTTTCACAGTCAATGAACACGAAAATATTTGCATAGCGGGATTAAAACGTCGGGCTGGCTACGCTACTGATTATACGTCTTTACTAGAAAATACATGCATGCAATTGCAGAAACCCTCGCCTTGCTGACAAAACCGTTGTATTTTCCGAACAGTAACCGTTGTATTTTCAGACATGGTAACACGATAATTTTTTAAGAATATTCTTACAAATGAAAATCGCCTAAAAATATCACTTTTAATTACAAAATTATCAATTTCCCAACATATATATGTTAGGTATGTAATTATACGTAATACAAGCTTCAATTTAAAGTGCCTATATCAGGGTTTGGGAGTTTGCATATCTCGAAAGTTTAGGGTATTTTAAGACACTTTGCAATATATTTTGTTATTGAAAAATTTCATCTTGATGGATTTATTAGCTCTTAAAGTTACCGGACATGACGTCAAAAGGAGAATTTTGTTGCAATGAAACAAAGGAAAACTGATTTGCAATTCTCCTTTTGACGTCATGTCCGGTAACTTTAGGAGCTAATAAATCCATCAAGATGAAATTTTTCAATAACAAAATATATTGCAAAGTGTCTTAAAATACCCTAAACTTTCGAGATATGCAAACTCCAAAACCCTGATATAGGCACTTTAAGGTAAAATTCAACCACAAACAGTTCACAAAACGTTTTAAAGTGTTCTTTATAAAACTAAACTGCCTTTAACTATTATTATTAAATGGCTTTATCGATAAACTTTGAGTTTGCAATAAAATGATTTCAAATTCTCGCTTGCAAATAACTTTGGTCTTTGCTTTATTTTTTATTTAAAAAATTCAATATAATAAAAAAGGGAATCAATATTAAAGTTACACTGAAATTTATATATGCTGTCTTGTTTAGTTGTTTCATATACGCAAAGGCCGTCGGGTTTTAAAACCAATATAAAATCAATATTTAAAACAAACTTACCTTCGTTAACGTCGGCTCCCTTCTTTTAGCTGATTCTTTCGCCCTTTCTTTCTTGAAATTTACAAAATCTTGCAGAAATACGAGCAAAAATGAAATATATTTGCAAGAAATTTATCAATCATCAAATCAAGAAATGTTTGCTATTTCGCTGCCGTCATGCAGTCGTTATAATGCAAACTTTAAATTGGACCAATCAGTGTCCGTTATTCATGACAATCCGCCATATTTTTGAGATCAGTGAGGATGACCACCCATCGTTGGTGACCGACGCCCGCGCTCATTGATGAACTTTAGACTTCGCTAATGCTTTCGTTTCCCCGGGTGTAAATAGCCGGGGGGAATTAGTACCCTCGCACGGCGCTTCGCGCCGCCGGCTCGGGGATAACGTATTAAACTCCCGCAATATTTCTGGAAACCATATTGTTTACAGTTTGCAAAGTATGAAAACATTTAAAGTTCTGGCCAGTTGTACGAAAGCTGAATATAGCTACAGTAATATAGCGTTATCCACCGCGGATAGTAATTTTTCAACTACTGTGAAAATACTTGAACATCTTTAGAACTGCAGACATGGACATCACAATTAATTAATAAAAAGAAACTTTAAAGGACAATGGCACCGAAAATTTTTATTGGCTATTTCAATCCTACTTGACGACCTAACTATGAAAATATTATCATTTCGTTCTCAAACATTTTAGTTTGTGTTTCGCCGCCATCTTGGAAATATTTTTTGACAAATTATCTCGAAGGTCAATGAACTTTGTGACGTCATTGGATGGGTAGCACTAAAACTACAAGAGAGAATTCTATTGCGTGCGTGTTATGTTAGCTAAAAATATGTCGTTTTGAGCGTTATACTGGCCAACACTCTTCGCAATCATACAAGATAAGTCTACACTATCAGATAAAAACATATCGAGCGACTGGGAAAGCAAGGAATGGCGCAATTTACAATACAGGTAATTGATCATAAAATATTGCATTAGTATTTGTCTTGTTACACTCGAATTTCTGCGTTTATTTAACACGGAGTAGGATATATACCATGAGAAATAGTGTTACAAAAAAATTACATACTTGGTAAAACTTTGCTGCCTTTTTTTTCGGTTCAAATGCACTACGCGTGGCAATACTCGGTATTGTTTATAGTCATGAAATTGTGTTTACCCAGCCAATGACGTCAGATAATGTATTTTGAGGCATAAATTAGCATACGCACTTATTTTCAAAATGGCGGACAACTGTTGAACTTTCTATCAAATTTTCTCAATAACTAAACGCGACAAACCGGCCAAAATATGAAATTAAATATTCCGCAAGAATACCTAATAGATACAAGTAATAAAATTTTTGGGTACCAATGTCCTTTAAATGAGACTAGATTGGATGATACTATTAATAACCAGGATATGTGCACAAGTAATTATGATCTTATTAGGGTCGATCGTTCTACAACAGGGGCCATTTATTGTCGGTACTATTTACAGACCTCCAAGTGCTTCTGATAATGATGATGATGATAAACTTTATTTAACCACGCTAACATTGTCAGCAGAAGCTGGTTTCCACAATGGGCGTGTAAAAACATTAACAAATTGTTACAAGTAAAATAATAAGGAAGTATTAACATGCAGAATATAAAATTATTAAAATATATACAAAAAGTTTGCTATTTACAATGATGTGGGTTTCTTTATAAGCTATAGGTAGCGATTTTTCTTTTAAAACTTGAGAGCGAATTACTTTCTCTTATATTTTTTGGAAGAGAGTTCCATATGGAAGCTCCATCATACATGAAACTCTTTTTCATATTGTTTGTGTTTGGCTTGGGCAAACGTATGGTACTTGAGCTGTTACGAAGACTGCGGTTTAATAGTCCTTTTTTGAAAGTAAATAATTCTTTGAGACAATTTGGCCCCATGTTATTGAGCGTTTTAAACATTATTTTTGCCTTTGCTTTCACTCTTTGTTCCTTGAGTGGTTCCCATCCTAATATATTTAGCACAGTTTGTTGATCTACCTCATGAGGTACACGTGCTATTAAACGAGCAGCTCTGTTATGAAGTTTTTGGAGACGTGTGGATTGCGTTTCACCAAATATATTCCAAACTTCACAACAGCAGCTAAAGTATGGTTGAATTATAGCATTGTATACGGAAACGAGTATTTTTTATCAACATATTCTTTAATGCTTTTGAGAGCGTATATTCCAGATGATATCTTTTTACATATATTATCTGTATTGCTCTTCCAACACAAATTTTCATCAACAGTCACACCTAGTGTTCTACATTGAAAAACCTGCTTTATGGGTATGTTTTGAATGTGAATTTTAAGTTGCTGAACAGAAGCTTTTTTCAGCATCTGTTTAGTACCAATAATTTGAAATTCAGTTTTCGCCACATTCAAGCTCAGTTTGTTTGCCATGAGCCATTTACGAAGCATTTCTAAATCTGAGTTTACTGCATCTTCAAGATCACTTAAGCATTCTCCAGCTGCTGTGATATTTGTATCATCAGCAAACAGCCGTGGTTTTGTTTTACTCAGACATGCAGGTAGATCATTAATATAGAGTAAGAAGAATAGTGGCCCCAATATAGACCCCTGGGGTACACCACATTTGATGTCATTTTCCCCTGAAATAGATCCATTGACTTCACATCTTTGAGTACGACCAGTTAAGTATGATTTGAGTAATAGAAATGCACTTCCTGTGATTCCAACTAGTTTTAGTTTTTGCAATAAGATCTCATGGTCAACAGTATCAAAGGCTTTTTTTAGGTCTACAAATACAACCAAATTAAAAAGTTTTCTAT